AAAAGAGCAGAGATTTCAGTGATGGTGGAGGAGATCAAGAGACTCGGCAGATGGCCAGTTTTACATGCTGTAGTTTCAGGCGCCATGCGCTAACCGTATGTTGATAAGCTTTGCTGACCTCGTGACATGCTGTGTTGAGGCTATGTAACCTATCAGACGCTTTCTGCTTTGTCCAAGCTTGAGTACTGTTTGCGTTGCTGACGCGTCCCCGGTGTTGATGGTCTATCCCGAAAGGAGGCACGACTGTAGGGTTAGAGTTAGGACTTTGCGACAGCGGCTGTGCAGCACGTGGCGTCTCTTGTCTCCGCACCTCACAGTACTCGCGCCGTGCTCCAGCAGGCTCGGGCCTGCCGTCTTCAGCTTTTCTTTTCCCCACCCTCCACTCCCTTATCTTTCGCTCTCTCTTGGATCCTCGCAGCCTACTTTTATTACAATTTTTCCGCGATACCCTTTTACTACTAGTAGTGTTACCTGGGTTCTTTGCTACAGCTACATAGTTACATTCATTCTCTAGAGGCCTGGATGGCGGTACCTAGACCTTCAGGCCCTGAGGCTGCGAGGTTGCCCACCCACCCTCACAGCTCACCTCGGCTCATCTTCACAGGTCGGGGCCGCTATCGGGGCCGGGACCCCTTCGGGGGCTCCACCCAAATAGCTATCTGCATCTTACCAATGCAAACATTCTCTCATCGAATGCGGCACAATAGCGCCACGCAAAGTTCGTATAACACGTTGGATTGCATTAGATTGAGAGCCTCGTGTAACTTAACGCGGCCCTATAGAAATGTAGTAGTACTGTATTGCAATACTCTCTGAATGCAAACCGTGATGAACTGAGATTATAATTCCTACCGGCCGTGGCAGGAGTTCCTTGAAATCATATACGATGGCAGTATACGCTACTTCGTCTTCTACGTCCCCATCTGCATCAGCTCCGGTATCATTGACATTCCCTGCTTCTCGTCCCTGCAAATTGCTGATCTTCATTGTTCTCATCGTCCTTAATGATGCCCTCTAGGTCATCTGGCGTGATCATATAGATGCTGGACGTATCATTTTCTGCTAGTTCACAGCGACTGCGTCTTGCATGACCATGCTGTTGTAGTACTGTGTGCGCAAGAACGAAGTGTGGATCATGTCTGGGAGGGCCGCAGCTTCTGCTCTGACGTCCTCGAGGCAGCGGACAATGTCGACATGGGTTAACGTAGGTCTGGTGCAGCTCTGTGTGCGGGTTTGTAGATATCAAGGTCCGCCTCAGAAGGGGAAGGCGGGACGTGTGCGGGCGCGGTTACGGGCGCTGATGTGTTTGTGAGACTATGCTCCGGAGGGATCGAGGGAAGTGCAGTATGTTTGGGGGTGAGGACGCGTCAGCATATATGAATTTATAGGTAGAGTGGACAGACCGCCACACAACCGAGGGCATCGGGAATGTCCTTCATTGCCGATCTCAGGAAATGCAGCTCTGCGCCTGTCTCAACATACTCCTGCAATATGCTCGAGGTGTGGTTAAAGGACAATCTGTTTTTTCTTAGTTAACGCATGCTGCTGCCCATGTTACGCAGCTGGCTCCAGAGAGTTTGGGTGTCGCTGTGGATGTGGTCCCGGAGGGCCATAACTTCCGCTCTCATGGTTGTGTGCTTGGCTATTATACTATCGAGACCGCGGACTTTGTCGACACAGCCGGTAAAGCCCGCTTGGGTATAATGAGACGCAAGGTGCATTGAAGGGGTAGGATATTCTGCATTTGCAGACGGGACGCGAGTATGTGCATGTACAGCCGCAGATGTGCTCCAGAGTTCTTGTGACTCCACGAGCTGGAGGGAGTAAGTTGGAGCTGTGAGGACGGATCAGCATATAGGAATGGATAGGAAGAGTTGACGAACTGCAACGTCATTTTGCCATTGAGAGTATCATGAATGTCGTTCATTGTGGGCAGTGCGTAGGGAGTGCAGCTCTGGCACTCTAAACCTGTTGCATGACTGTTTTGGAGCCAGCCCTGCAGTCTGCCCAAGATGTAGTCAAGGCACAGGTTATTTTTGCTCGGTAAACACATGGTGGAGGATTTGGTGGCGCTGTGGATGAGGAGAACTCAAGTTCCTACCACTTGTACATACGTAAGTGGTGCGGAGATGATTGAGGGAAGATTGAGAGGAATATAGGCGGATGTTGGGACGGCAATAAACGCGAGCTGCAATGTACGCCTCGTCTGTAAAGATCGTGACACGCCACGGCGTCTTTGTCGGTCGGATCGATGAGTTGAAAGTCAGAAGGTTGGACAGACACGTCACCAATGTATCACGATATCAAGTGCCGTTTGAGCTTTCGTGACTGTGACTATCTGTCAGTCCATGCTACTATGGGGCTGCGTGCGCAAGGACAAGGAGTGGATGAAGTTCCGGAGGGCTACCACTTCAGTTTTGATCTCATCGTACCTAGTAATCATGTCCTCGAGCGGGCAGACCTTGTCGACATTGCTAGCGAGGCTGGCTTTGGTCTGGCGCAGTTCTGTGCACAGCTGGGAGAATGCACAGTGCACTGGAGAAAGGACAGGGGCTTCTGCATTTGTGGGCGTAGGTGCGGGTATGGTCGCAAACGTGTTCGAGTGTAGTTGTGTCCATGCGCAGGAGGCCCTGAGGGAAATGTTGGGGCTGTGAGGACGGGTCAATGAAAAGAAATGGATAAGCAGAGTGGACGAACAACAGCACCACCGGTATCACGAATGTCGTTTGTTGCCACGAAGATCTGCGTCTGTCTCATGGTTCTTGTAGAGATCGTCCTGGAGCCTGTTTAAGATTCTGTTAAAGGACACGTTTTTTATCCCGGTGAATGCATGCTGCCGCCGATGCTACGCAGCTGAATCTACATGGTTCAACGGCGCTGTGGTGCGGGGAGCACTGAGAGAAGCAGATGTTGGGACGGAATTGAGCGTTCTCATATGAAGACGTGTATATGTAACAAGTACGGTGACTGTGGTGGATCGACGTGAAATTCCTGGAAGCTGGCGGATGCCAGGTGGGACGGTTAGGCAGGCATAACACGATATCATCGATCTTAAGAAAAAGACCAACTCAACATCGAAGGACACATGAAGTCCGTCAACGGAGTGATACACTTGCGAAGGGGATAACAGAAGGTAACATACGCTTTTTATTGTATAATAATTTGAATTGCATTAGATTGATAGTGTCGTGTAACTCAACACCGCCCTACGGCACTCCCGCCGCATAGCAATACGCTCTGAAACCTTGATGAACTCAGATAAGACACCCTACAGGCTTCGATGGGAATGTAGTACTTACCTCAACAAGAACAGCAGCACGCGCAGATTCGTCTTCATACGTCCATATCCATTAGCTCCACTCTCCTTAAGTTTCCGACTTCCTTCTCCTCCCTGCATGTTGCCAATCATCCTCTCTCTCATACACGTCCACAACGCCATCCAGCACATGCGGCGTGATCACATAGATGCTGGATGTGTCGTATTTTTCTGATTCACGGCGACTGCGTCCCCTGTGTACATCCTGCCGCTGTGATGATGCGTGCGCAAGGACGACGCATGAATGAGATCCCGAAAGGTAGCACCTTCTGTTGGAAGTGAGTAATCCACACATTGGACAGCGATGGAATGAACCGCAAGGCTGGATGGTCTAGTGGTTAAGACATCCCCCCGGAGTTGGGAATGCCTAGGTTCGAGTCCTAGTCCTGCCACACTTTTGGGTTTTCCACACCTTCCACTGTGATGGTGTCATGCTCATCTATCATGTCCTCGAGGGCGCAGAGCTTGGCAACGTGGCTGGCGAGGCTCGCTGGGATCTCATGCAGTTCTGCTTGTGCATAGTGCAGAGAGCGCAGGGGAAATGGGGTTATGTATGTGAGGACGGGGCGGATGTGTTCGAGGCTTGTTGTCACCGTACACAAGGGAAGGACTGGCTGAGGGAAGTGCGGAAGGCCTTGGAGTGAGATAGAGCATGTACGAACGAGGGTGGACGGACCGCAGGGGCACCAAAGGTATTGCGAATATTGTTCATTGACATGCACGGTGAGATCAGCTTGGCGCCCAACGGACGAGAGGATAATGGGGTGGGAAAGGCGGATGTTGAAATGGCCTGGACGCGGGCTGCGAATTGAGTATCCTCATCTGTTATAGCCCACACACGACATACTGCACGTTGTGGTGGACTGTAGTCTTATTGTCTCTAATGATGATAACGATGTCAAATTCCTGGGAGCGGGGTTTATGGGTTGGGTGAAACAGGGACGGCAGAGAGGGGCTACGATACATCATTTTCAGCTCAAAGGTTCGTACTCGACCCATTTTGCCTGAGTCATTGACCATTGGTAAATATGGAAGTGCCGTTTGAAATTGGTGCACTGGGGATGTTCGATGTTCATTTGGTCTTGGTTGCTCTGATGGCTTTGTGCTTGGCTATCATAGCATCGAGAGCGTGGACTTTGCCGACATGGCTGGTGAAGCTGCCTTGGGTCTAATGCAGCTCTGTGCCAAGTTCGGAGAGCGCAAGGTGCGTCGAAGGAGGGGCAGGGCATTCTGTATTTGCAGACGGGACGGGAGTAGGTGCATGTACGGCGGCAGACTCGGATGCGCTCGAGAGAGTAAGTCTTGGGGCTGTGAGGACGGATCAGCACATATGAATGGATAGGCACAGTTGACGAACTGCAACGCCACGGTGCCATCAAGGGCATCACGAATGTCATTCATTGCGGACCGACAGACATATCACGGTATCCGTATGAAGCTAGGTGTCCCTGATGAAGATGTACGTTGTAGTAGTACACCGGCAGAAGGGAACCTTCACGTCGAACTGGGCACATCATCATCGTGTTCAACCTTCGAAGCTTCACCCACACATCGGGATTATCAATATTTAAGAGCAGTTTTAATGTTGATAACCCCGATGTGAGACGTTTCGGGACCATGTCGTTTTCAACTCCGCTTCCCAGAAAACGTATGGTTCGAGACTATCCATCTGAGCCTTTCCCTTCGATTTTGGTCTGCACTCTGCCTAGGGAGAGTAGAATGAGGCTTGTGAGCCATTCGAAATTCACACTTTCGTATCAGTATGCAGATGCCCTGCAGTACTAGTGCCCCCATCCTCGAAATGGCCGCTGGGGGGGTGCGTGCGTTACAATGTGTGTGTGTACGACAGAGTCAATGAATTCAGGTACGTGACCGAAGAAGATTACGCTGCCAGTACTTAGATGGCGCAAATGCATTAGCAGACAGTTTACTACGATATACGATACGGGGATGATGCGACGTATGTGTATAAACGAGAACTTCGGCCGCGGCGCCACTTCGGGTACTGACGACATCCACGTAGCTACAATATCTCTAGCGTCCTGACATCCATCATGTCACAAACGGAACTCATATCTCTGACCTGCGCAATGATATCGTGATCTGACGCAATTCTCTTGTACTCTCCACCCCACTGCTGCACTAGCAAAAATGCAGCAAAGGGCTGACCAAGGTGAACGATCAATCGTAATGCTCGTCGATAAGACTCTGAATGATCCAGCCCATAGTCTGCAGGAAGCCCAGCAAGGGAATCGCATGACGGAGACGTCGGCGGGGTGCAGTCATCCATGCTCTGCATATCGTCTGCAACGTCAGGCAGCTCGAGGAGAGAACGATCCCATGGACGGACAAGTAAGAGTGGATGCCGAGCGGGTCTTGTCCGCGAGAATTGAATTAGCTTTTCATCCGTAGTGATCAGCAGGTTATTCAGCCCATCCACCTTGACATCATAAGTGAAATATGTTGCCTGATCTTGATCACGCCTCCGCTTGATTGCCGTGACAACGAATGCAATGCACGGCAGATGTAACCTGCAGTTTGCAAAGCGAGAAGCGGTTGTGTTATGGAGTAGGGTATAAAGTTTTGAAGCCAACTCCACGGCAATAGTATTGTGCAGTGGGGAGACTGCTGTCTGAATCTTATCTTCAGATAGGGATGGCAGGGTGCATGGCGCAACTTCGTACGAGGTGATGTTCGCTGGCAGGCAGCTATTAAACTCGGATGGTTTTCCAACCCAGTCCAGGGCAGTGATGTCACCCGACCGAGCCACGATCTCCTGTAGGAGCCTCCCGAGAGCGTTTTGCTTCTTCTCGCCATAAATTATAGGTAGGTGGACGCCGAAGATGCCGAACAATGAGTATGCAATGTCTTCCTGCCACGTAGTCACACGTTTCGAAGCCCATTGGAGTTTCTCTCGAGCGCCTCTCATCCCTGGATGAAAAGTAACGAGTGCCCCTGGATCTATACCAGTCGCATATGCCAACTCCTGCATGATCGTGACAGACTCCTTATGGTTTGGAGTGTGATCGTCGAGATATAAGGTCCAATCCCTCTGATAAAATACAACGACTTTGGGAGCGAGGAATTCCTGAACCGTCCAGCCTCGCTCGTTCCAAGCACTCCTTGCCAGCGCGCCAGACTTGGACGAAGGCGAAAC